CCTGAGAACTGATTATTTAAGGTTTTCTAATTTTTAGCTATTATGAACAGTGCCATAATGAATATTCTCCTTTATTTCTGTTTGTGTGTATATCTGATTGTTGTTGCCTTGTGGGCAGAGTTCCAAGAAGTTGAATTCCTTGTCCAATATTTTTTCACCTCTTAAAGATTTTTAATATGTTAATACAGTGCTAAAGTATCCTCTATGGTTGATTTTAATGATTGGGTTTTCAATCCCTTTATTTTGCTATTGTTTCCTGTCTACCCTGGCGATCAAAAGTTAAGCAATTAGTTAACCCTCTGGTAAGCGCACTACCTGCCCTCCCTGCCATTGCCAGGAACCAGCTCCACCCATCCTGATGCCCCTCCAGCCTGGACACCCCGCCGACCTGGCCTCAGTTCCTCTGTGGCCTGTCTGGGTTACTGGTCACTTGGTCCTATTTCCCCCTCAACCTGACCCCTCAGTCTGTGTATCTTATGCAACTTCACTTCTACTGGGTGTTGCCATAAAGAGCTATTCGTACTTTATATTTTTCTTCTAACTGAATAAAGACGTTAGGTGAGAGGAGGGACACAGTGATCTCATTCACACCAGGAGCCTGGAGCCCCGCTCCCTCTGCAGGCCCTGTGTCTCCTCCCAGCTCCCCAGCTGCAAACTTTCCCTGGTGGAATCTGGCCAGGCTCTGACACCGCTTTCCAAGGCGTGCAGGACCCTGGCTATTCTTGTGGTGCTGTATACCCTGGGAAGGACCCACTGGGCCCTCCACGCCACGTGGGATCTCCACGGGCCGCAGGAAGTTGGCATGTCTGGAGAAGGGCCAGAGCTGGACACTAGGATTTCTTGAGGATAATTGGTCCTGGGCTCCAACTCTTGCTCACCTGGAGCAAATGGAGCCACAACTGTGATGGCTTCAGCTCTCAGGGAGGTGAACCGATGGGGGTCCATCCCAGTCATGAGGCTGGCTGCTCTGCCATTGGGCCAACAGCTTGGGGATCTGTAGAGGTGTGGCTGGCTCAGACGGCCTTTTGTCCCTCTTGAAGCCAAATCCTGGCACCTGGAAATGGGAACTTCTGGGGTTTTTTGACTTTTGTTTTTTGCAGTTGTTCTTACAAGCTGGTTATTGTTTTTGTCTCTTTTAGATGTTTCACTGCACCTTTATTGTGGCATCCAAACCCTGGAACTTTGAACTCAATATGCTGAAGAAAGAATGCCAGCCTGTCTAATGGTCTTCTAGCACATTCTGCCACTCTCACGAGCATTTAAAGAAGCAAAGGCACTCACAAAACATTTAAATAACACATCCGACCTATTGACTTCATTTTGTAGCCTTCTTGCTTTTTTGTGCATCCTTCAGGCGTGGAGGCTGAGAATGTGGTGCCAGGCTGTGTAGTGTCTTCTACTTGGTCAATGCATTTACAAGCAGGGGCAGTCTGCTCCCAATGAATGGAAGGGAACACGAACTTGTTTCCGTATTTCACCAAACTCTGGGCACAAGTGACTTTTCACTGACAGCTCTTTGTGTGGAACTAATAGGAAGACCCACCCCTCCACTGCTTCAGGCTGGTGGGTAGTTTCTGCAAGGCTCTGAAGATGCGTTGAGAATGTCCATCCCTGGACTTCCACAGAAATCTCCCTGCCCAGGACTCTGGAAGACACAGCAAAATGGCTTTAGAAACAGTTTTAACCCACCCCACCCCTGATCCAACCTGGGAGCTAGCTGTATCATTTGGAGATTTGTGTTTTAATTTTGGTTTTGAATTGAGGCAGAAAAATGCAAGAGTGATGGTACGTGGAGAGTAGGCTGCATTTGTGCATGTGTGTGTGTGTGTGTGTTCATGCATGTGTGTGCTCGCACAGGGTAAGAGGTATAATCTAATGCTGCGTAACTGATCACCCTGCCCTTGGTGCTTAAGCAATGTATTTATGTCTCCGTGGTGTCTGTGCACCAGGGGTCTGGGGTGGCTTGGCTGATGTCACCTATCCTGAGGTCACACTCAGGCTCTGACGGCACTGTCCTCATCTGAAGGTGAGTTTGGCCCCGGAGAACCCACTCTCCAGGCGGCTAGCCCTCCCGGCTGCTGGTTGGCGTTGGCTGTCGGCAGGTGGCCTCTGCTATCCTCAGTGCGGGCCTCTCCACTTGGCCTCTCTGCGCTGGGTAAGGGAGATCGGTTCCTCTGGACAGAGTGTCCAAGACATGGGGACGGAAGCCACAGCACACTCGGTGACCCAGCTTCAGATGTGACACACCATCAACTCTCTGCGTTGTTGGTCACCTAGATCAGCTCTGGTTCAGTGTGGGAGGGGAGGCTTAAAGGTGTGATGACCAGGAGATAAGGTTCAGCAGAGGCCATGGAGGAGGCAGGCTCTCGCTGTGTGTGTGTGTCTGTGTGTGTGTGTGTGTATGTGTACGTGTAGGGCTGGACTGAGATGGTGAAGTTCAGCAGAGGCCATGGAGGAGGCAGGCTCTCGCTGTGTGTGTGTGTCTGTGTGTGTGTGTGTGTATGTGTACGTGTAGGGCTGGACTGAGATGGTGAAGCAGGTCAATATGACAAGAAGGAAGCACGTTCCAAAATGTAGGTGTGGAAACTACAGCACTGGTGTGCAGGTGAGGGCCAGCCAGCCAGGTGTCAACAACCACACAGGATCAGGTCGAAGCCCACCTGGTTGACAGGTGAACCCTCCCTGGGACTCCTCCTCTGGCAGGACTTGCACGTGGTGAGCATCTGTGAGGGGCGGGCTGGATAGCGGGGTGCCTGATGCTCCTGAGAGGAGCCCTCCGCCAATGCAGGACTTGGGGGAGAAATACCTCAGTTCTTTTTTATAAATTACAGGGTAATTGACCTACAACACTGTTAGTTCCAACTGCACAACAATATTCCTCTATGTTACAAAGTGATCCCCAAGATAAGTCTAGTTACTATCTGTCACCCTATTGATACAAAGTTATTACAATATTATTGACTGCCCCCATGCTGGACGTTTCATCCTTGTGTCTCATTTATAAGTAGACTTTTGTACCTCTTAATCTCCCTCGCCCTTTTCATTCACCCCCCTCCCCACAGCATAGATCATCAAGAATTTGGGGGGGAAAAGAGGAGAAAGAGTCACAAATGCACCTTCCAGCAGGGCATGTTGCTTTCCCGGGCTGACCACCGCCACGAGGAAACCAGTGTCCAAATCCCACGGCTGTTCTAGCTCCCTGGGACTCTGGGGACCAGGGCTGGGGGAGGTGCAGACGGGGGGAGCGGGCTGAGTACACAGGGAAGGGACGGCCACCTGCTGGGTGTGACGCTGTGTCTATCACCAGACAGCCCCGCCCCTTCTTGCCCACCGGAGAGGCCCGGGCAACTGCAAAGTCCTCCCAAAGTCTCCACTTGCTTATTCCTTTGTGTTGAGTTCTTATTTATTGAGCCCCAGGGCTGTGCCTGGACCCTGACACGTGGGAAAGCTGAGGAAATTGTCCGAATGTGCCCCTGGCAGATGGGAAAGTGGGCACAGAGCAGAACACAGGGTCTGGAGGCAAGGCATTTGGTCACTGATGCTGCATTTCCTTTCATGGCCCTCTCAATGCCCAGCTGCAAGCCTTGGTGACCCAGAGCCTGTGGCCGACAGGTCAGCAGCTGGGAGGGAGAGTCCCCACTAGTCTCTCGTTTCAGGAGAGGGGGGTGCCTGCCTTAGCTGTGGGCTGTGCTTGGAGCCCAGCAATCCTGCCTCTGCCTCCGGCGAGGTGTTGCCCAGGGATGGACAACAGGGCCAGAAACCCACTTCCCTGATTCTTCAGCGCACAGATTCCAGTGGGAGGAAGGGGCCCAGCACACACCATTCCAGGCAGAGGTGCGCAGGGTCAGGGAGGAGGCTCCTCCCGCCAGGACAGTTCCCTCAGTCCACACCTGTGCTCACCAAGCTAAGCAGCGCAGGTGTCCTACCTTCTGGACTAGTGAGGGATAGTAGGGTTGGGACAAACCCAGGCCCTGCAGCTCCCCTCCAGGGGCAGATGCACTGGCAAAGTCCCACGCGTGTGGGCTGACAGGCAGCGCACCATCCCTGGCAGAAGCCGGGTTTGACACCCCTCCCAGGGTCCCTCCACAGCCCCAGGAAAGGGGTGAGCTCATGAAGGGCCAGGCAGCTTCCCCACATTGGGGTGACCTCAGAGGAGATCCTTTCCCAGGAGTTGCTTGAGGACAATTGTGGCGTCGATTCCTTGGAAACATGATGGGAAGCACAGTGCGTAAAGGATCCTTTAAACTTCCTTTGGCGGAAACAGCCAGGAGTCAGGAAAGGCCTCAGAGGGAGAAGGAGGAGGGGTGGGGGAGGGTCTTGGAGAGCAACTTGCCTGGTCCAGGCCCAGGTGGCAGGGGGACAAGAACACAGCTGTGCCTATGCTGAGCAACACCCACCAACAGTGAGGATGCCCGTGCCTGGGCTCCCCTTGGCTCTGCTGGGGTCACGGGACTGGGAAGCCAGCCAAAGTCCTCCACACACACAAAGGGTCCCCTCCCCAGGAGACCCTGCGACACACACTTGGGAGCAGGCTTTGATTCAGGAGGTGCTCGCGGGCAGCACAAGGAGAGGAGGCAAGGAGGGAGAAGGTCCACGTGGCCACTACCAAGAGTCCCAGGGTAGCCATGGGCTTCTGCACAGCCACCTCTGAATGGCCGCCCTGGGGCAGGGATGCTGAGCCTGGACACACTGCTCAGACGCAACCGTGCTCCTAGCTTGTGCCACCTGCGGCTGGCTCAGGTGTCCACAGGGGAGAGACCCAGCCCCTGGGCCCAGCCGGCTGCCCTGCTGGCAGGACAGCATCAGCTGCCCAGCACCCAACCTCTGGAACCAGGTGGCACAAAGCTGCTTGCAGTGCTGACGTTTAATGACCAATTCTACAGGAGGAAATGACAGGGAGGGATGTCGACATTGCCCGGATGTGACACCCAGACACCTGCTCATACAGAGGACAGAGCCAGAGCTGCTCAGCCACTGAAGGGCCACGGCAGGGTATGGTCTCATTCAGTGGAGCCCTCCGAGCAGGTGTTGTTCAGAAGTTGAAACTTTGTTCTCCAGGGTTCAGTGTCGATTGTAAAGAAGCAGGTGATGGTCTACGGGACAAAGCACAGGGACAGAGAGTGGCGGGAGGGGCCTTGGGAAGCGTGTGGCTCCAGCTCTAAAGCCAGCATCCCCCCAACCTCGCCTTCCTGGGATGGGTAGCTGGGGTTGCAGGCTCTGGCCCTCAGTCCTGGATGTTCCCAACCTGGGACTCTCTCCTAACCCCAGAGGCACCTGGGTCATTCTCCCCTCTCCAGCTCTGTGGTTTCCAGGGACCCGTCCCCCAGGATGTCCCAGTGTGACCCATGCCCCCAGCGTTCCAGCAGGGCCTCTGATCCATCTCGGGTTTGTCCTGGGGTGGGGTTCACCCGCCTTAGCACCAGGACAAGACCTGGGAGGGAGGGCAGTGGGGCTCCTTAGCTTCCACCCCACAGGCTCTGGGTCAGTGTCAGGGGGACCCGAGAGGGGGCTACTCAGCCAAGGTGATGTTGTTGCCCCCCCACCCCGCACTCCTCCTGAAGGCAGGGAAGGGAGGTGGGTGAACACCAGGGAGGGCACATTCCCGTCTCTGGCCCAGGTGACCCGGACCCAAGTGGTCAGGAGCAACCTGACCCCAGTGTGACCTGGGGTGCAGCGACTAGACAGGCCAGGGGTGTACAAGTGACCGGGGCTGGTCTGCCTGGCTGGGCTCCGCCCTGCAAGTGCCCCTCTGTGTCCCTTGGAACGGCATTGTCATCACTCCCCACACCCCCTGCCCCGAGGCAGCGTCCACAGCCCTGTAACCTGAGGGCTGCTGTCACATTTCTTACATTGTTCATGTCTGGACTTGCTTGAAACGGACAGTTGTCAATGTCTTCGTCAAATTTCCCACACCTGGTTCGGCCGAGCTGCAGCTCCGTGGAGAACACGATGCCATTTGCCTGCGTTTGTACAGACCTTGAAGTGGACCCATTCCCTGCCCCCCCGCACACACGCACATTCACACACACACACACACACGAGAATACAAGCACACAGGCACACTCACGGGATTGGGACAGTGGCTCTGTGAAACACCACCCCTCTCACAAAGTGCGCCCTGAAGGTTTCTGTCCTCTTCTCCCTGGTCCTTCAGCCTTACAGTGTCTTCTGGCTCCACCCAGCCTTTATTTCCAACACCCAGAGTCAGCCTTGGACTCCAGGCCAAAGACCAAAGACAGAGGCCCAGCTGGAGGGTGCAGGGCAGCAGGACCAGCCAGGACCAGCTCCAGTGTCCACGAGTAAAGCCCAGCAGCGTGGAGGGCCCTCTGCCTTCCTTCTATCACTCAATCCAGAGGTGCAGAGGGAGTGACACCCCAGCGCCCCACCACACACAAGCGCTCAGACAAAGCACACGCACACAACCACACACAGGACCAGAAGTGCCCCTCCTCCGGAGTGTTCTCGGTGCTCGTGTCTGCAGCCCACATGAAAATCACACCCCTGGTTGCATTCTGTAGAGACTGCATTGCTAGGGGAACATTTTAGGGTTAAGAATGCCATCTGGGAAGAGGGAGCCCAGAACACGTGGAGTCAGGGGAGAGGCTGCGAGCTCCCAGCGGCTCCTCAGGACCAGGGGGGCCTGTGACTCCCGAGCCGCTCTCCCCCTCCCTCTGTGGGCGTCTCTGTGTATCTCTCTCTCTCTGTTTTTCCTAAACTAACCTATTTTAATGTTATTTCCATGAAATCTTTTCTAAATCTCTCTAACCCAGTATCTTCTGTCTGGCTCTTTGTTTTTACTAAATAGTTTCATCCCCTCTTAGTCCATATTTGGTCATTCTTCATTAAACAAGTTCAGAAATGATGAAAACTGAAAACACACCTTACATGTGAGTAGACTGACAGTTTAAAAAATTCCCAAGTTATTTTTTTTATAAAACCTGAAACTAACCAAATAGAGTTTATCCTTCTATATTATGGGTTTCAAATGGTGATAGAGATCCCTTGATGACAACCCCCTCCTGACCTTCATTAGCAGCAGGTGTGGGCCAGTGCGGGAGCGGGGGGGATGTGGTACCTACCGGCTCCTTCCACGACCTCAGGATGCGCACCACCTTGTAGGCATTGCTGTCCTGGCTCCTCTGGTTGAATACATGTACGGCGTACTCCACGGTGGCAGGGAAGTAAAGCTCCAAGGTTGCTTGGTCTTCACCATTCCCTTCCCCTTGGGGTTGCCAGCCGTGAGTCACCACGAGCTGGGGACCTAAGAGAAGCAGGAGCAGGGCACAGGGCTGAGCCCACCTGCACCTCCACTGCTGACACAGCATGGCTGTGGGCGCTCGGACACCCAGGCTTCGCCCTTCCCTGCGCTGGCTCCCACCCAGCCTCCCTGGGCATTGGGCCAGTTCATCTGCTCCGGGACATACTTCTGGCCCTGGTCCTCCCCTCTGGCATCACACCTTGTCCCTTCCCTCTTGTGACCCTGCCTCCTCCATCCAAAGCTGATAAAATTGCGTCCTGTTCAGGAAAGAGAAGCGAGACCCAGGCAGGGTGGGTGGAGAAGGGCCAGCTGTGGCGGAGAGACCCCTGCAGCTGGACCCCAGCCATACACACCCTTCGGCACCTCAGTGCGGGGGGAGGCTGAGTTTTGTGTCCCAGTTTCGGACGCTGAATCAAGGACACAATTGCAAAGGGTTGAATTGGAAGGGGGTCTCTGGACACAGCAGTAGGTGCGGGTCAGCGAGAAAGGAGGGACAGAGCCAAAGAGGATGAGTGGCCCAGAGCCAGCTTGTGGGTGACAGAAGGCGGCCGACCCAGAGGTGAAGTGTATTGATGCTAAGAAAGCAGCAGAGGGCCGAGGTCTGGACAAGTGCAGGTGTGTCCTTGTCCCCCGTGGCCCCCAGGCCCCTCGAGCTCTGGAACACAGGCACCCAAGCCCCTGGGCGGGTGCCGGGGAAGAAGACTTGCAGGTCTTAGAAGCAGGAGCTTCCCGCCAAATCCCTGCGTCTCCCGTGACACAATCCCTCCTCCCCGGGTTCTCAGCCTGGGGCCTGGCTGGCTGACGGACACGCCCTCCCTCCAGAGGTGTGACCGGAGGGTGGCCACCGGCACACACTGGGCCCGGGTGCCCCCTTGTCGGGGGGTGTCACCGGAGGAGGCAGAGTGAGTGAGGGGGAGGTAGAGAGAGGGGAGGAAACCAAGGCGCTCAGGAGGCTGAGCTGAGCCCACAGGAGACGCCAGTGTCTCTGCGCCTCGGGGCCACAGCTCAGCGGGCACACGACTCCTGTGTGCTGGGTTTGCGTCCGAGGAAGAGACCGTCACAGCCTCCAGCTGGGGCACAAACCAGCTCTGGGACGATGACACAGCACACTCTTTCCAGACAAGACTTAGCCTCTGTTTCCCCGAAACAGGCCTTTAGCCTCTGTCTGCAGCTACTGGAGCACTTCCAAGGGGCTCAGCATCCCCCAGAGGCCTGTGGATGCCCCCAACCCTGGGCCTTGCCCTCCTCCATGATCCTGACCCAGCTGGTCTGCTCAGGCCTGGAGAATGTGCCTCTTAGTCGGTTCCCAGGGGACGGTGCTGTCCCTTCCTCTGGTCCACACGTTGAGTAGCACAGTTCAGGGTCCCCGGGAGTGGCCACAGCAGAGTCACAGTGAGAAGTCAGTCACTTGTGTGGGCTGGGGGCTTGAGAATGGTTTCTGGTGGCCACACTGGACCAGAGAAGGAGTAAGAATACCATGCCTGGGGACAGAGAAAAAGGTGGGTTTCTAGAAGCCTGGCATCAGTGAGTAGATGGTGCCTATGGGGGGAGAGAAGGGGCTTTGACCCTGACTTTCTGTCCCCCTCCTCACCCCCGCCTGGCACTGACTTTCTTAGAGCTGCTGTCTTCTCGGGAGCAGGCGCTCTGAACCCTGCCCAGGCCTCCCCTCCTCGGGGTGCCCAGGTGCCCGAGACCAGCTCACATCTCATCCTCCCCCCACTCCTCCCTGAGATCTTGGCCTGGCCCTCGGCAGTGAAAGCTCAGAGCCCTAACCACTGGACTGCCTGGGAATTCCCTGTGATTTTTTTTTTTTCAAGCAGGTTCCATGGTCACCGTTCCCTGGTGTCCAAGCACAGGACTCAGTCCTGGCTGGAAGATGTCATTTTGCCTTTTGGTGTTTGCAACAAAGAAGCAAGGCAATATGATCAGGTGTGAGAAGCAGCCAGATGTGCAGGAAAACCTGAAAGAGGTTGTGTCTCTGGACTACCATTCAACCTCGAAACAGAAGGACGTTGCATTAATGTGGAGGGACCAGGAGGAAATTTTAGTGACAGAAGCCAGACAGAGGACAAAACACTGCTTAATTCCACTTTCATGAGAACTCCAAAGTACTCAAAGTCACAGAATCAGAAAGTGGAATGCTGGTTCCCAGGGCTGGAAGGAGGCAACTGGAGGGGATGTTGGTCAGAGGAGATAAATTTTACTTACAAGATGGACAATTTCTAGATGTGTACTCTACGACATAGGGCCTGGAGATGACACTGCCGTGGACTTGCACCTGGGCTGAAAGGTCAGGTGTTGAGTGAGTGCTCTCAACACCAGAAAAGAAAAGAAAAACATTAAATAAAAATGTGAAGTTGATCCGTGTATAGCCTGGACAGTGGGAGCTTTCTCACATGGATCCCAACCTCCAAACTCTTAAGTGTAGACGTTGGATATGTGCAGCTTTTGTCTGTCAGTCATATTTTCCATAAAGTGATATAACCAAAAAGTCCACAACAGGTTGTCCGTTTTCTCAGATGGCTGTAAGTTCACTAAAACTGCAAAGGAAACGGAAGTGACGTGCCTTTTTTTGCCGGAGAGTGAATATCCAGGTGTAGGGGTGAGATGAGGTAGTCAGCAATTGTAGGAACGTCTCAGTGGATTTTCACGGGGAACAGGCTGTGGAGACGTGAGTGAGTCCTGACACACACCTGGATGGATAGCAAGTATCTCGACAGAGGCCAGCAATGCCCACAGTGGCCACTCACACTTTGTCACCAGAGGAGCCTGAACAACACAGGTCTGTCCTGTTCATGTCCTGAGGGCAAGCAGACCTGTGCATTCAAAGCGGGTGTCCACACACACTCTCATACGAGGGACGGTGTGGACCCCTGTGCACAGCATCTCTCCTCTCAGTGCAGCCCAGGAGAGGACGGCATGGCCACAGCCAGCCCGGGACACAGCACATGGACACGACTGGCCCTCACAAATGTGTACAGAGCCCCCGAGTCCTTGGTGGTCTGGTGGTCTCCCTTCCCAGACAGAGCTACGGACACACCCAGACAAGAGCCCAGGGAAGAAGGGTGAATGTGGGCCTTAGGCTGGGCGGCCCTGAGCCGTGGGCACAGACAGAGCGGGGCCCAGGAAGCCCAGGAGGTGTGCAATCCTCTGGCCCTCTGCCTGGCCCTGCCTCTACCTGGGATTGGCCTACCTTTGCTCTCTAGACTCCTACTTATCCCTCAGGGCCCAGGCCAAGTGTCACCTCTTTTCCAAAGCTGTCCTGACTCCCATTGGAAGAACTCTGTCTCCTTGGACTGGATCCTGGGCACTGGTTGGCCTGTCTCCCGGGGGAGGCAGGGCTTCTGTCATGCCCATGTTCGTGTTGCTGGCACCAAGCATCCCCTGGACGTCTCACCGGGAGTTCTCCAGAAGTACTCACTGAAATGGGCCTGATTCCGTGAAGCCCAGCTCTGTGTGCCAGAAGCATCCCTTTCAAGGATCAGAGAGTATGGGCCATGGCCAGGACCAACCACCAGCCCTTCTCTGGGGAACTGGGGTGAGCAGCGGGTCATCTCTACACAGGGCACATGATGATCCTTCCGGACAATGCCCCCAAACTCACAGCTCAAAGCCATCCTTCCGGGGGGTCTGGTGCCCTGAACTCACTGCCCAGACTGACCGGCCCCTCCTGTCTGCGCCTCCTTGCCCAGGATCGCATGCTTGGCTTCCAGAGCACCTCCTGCTTAACACTCCTCTCGGGACCCCACCCAAATAGCCCAAGATTCCCCAGGCTCCCCAGGAGCTGGGAAACAAGGATGTGCCTAGGGTCCACGTGGTCAGAGGAAGAAATGGGCAGAGAGAACCCCAGGACAGAGCTGTGTGACCACCGTCTGCCAGAGAAATTGAGACAGGCTGGGACCTGGGACCCTTTGCTGCAGTTCTGCGATGCTTGCACCTGGACACACCTCTCCTCCAGCAACAAAATACAAAGAAATGGCGTGGGACTGAAAATAACTGCATGCATGCAGTTAGGGCAAATTCTGGACAAAAGAGACCAAAAAACCCAACTGCCACTTTTGAAGAGCCTGGAGCACAAGCAAGGTACTGCGCATGCCCCCTGCACACCCCACCGCCTAAGGGGTGGGCAGACCACCTAAGCCACACCTCCAGCCCAACCCCTGGACACACCCCTACCCTCACCCCATGTAAGGAACAAGGTCGCCCCACTTCTGGAACGAGCAAGCAGGAGAACCTGTTGTTTGTTCTCCCTCCTCCTTGCTGCAGCAGGGGCCCCAATAAAGCCTTGCGTGAATTTCTTGTCTGGACTCTGATCAATTTCTATTGATTGGGGACGGCCAAGAACACTGACTGGTATTAGATTTATGGTGCCCAACATGGGGCACTTGTCCCCTTCTGGGGCGAGGATCTGGACACCTCCAGGACCAGTGAATTCAGCTTCCCCATGGGTGACAAGTGGCCACCTGCACCTCTTGTTTCAGCATCACCACGTTTGGTAAGTCTGCCTTCCTGGCTCCTGGGGGCCTCAGTACCCTCATTCAGGCAATGCTTTCTGCCTCCCCTTTGTCCCTTTCCCTCTCCTGAAATCTCTCTGCTTCTCTCTCTGTCCTATCCTTCTGAGAGATTGGACGTCAGGCAGCTACAGCATCACTCCCCTCAGATTGTGAGACCTGCTCCCTCTGGCCAGCAGCGGCTCACCTTGACGGGTGACAGGTAGAGGTGGGAGAGGCTCGCCTCACACCATGCAGACCTTGGTCCAGCGGGCTCTTCCTGTTGGGAGATTTATGAGCATGGTAGATGTTCAAACTTCATATCGTGGAGTGGCTGGAAGTCCTATCATCCCAGTATTCTCACCTTTATTTTCCTGCTGTCTATTTCTCTTTTTCAGTCTTTTTTGCCCCTCCTCCCTTTACCTCTCCCTTGGTCCTTATACCTTCACTCCCATCCCCTTTATCCTGAAAACTTCTTGTGTCTTTAGGTTTTTGTCACTGGTATCTCTGTTTTATGTAGTTTTGTTATCAACCAGGGCTCTTGATCTCCTTAATCAATAGAAATTGATCAGAGGGC